ATATATCTATCAGTGTGTAATACTTGACACCAGTGTATCCAAGGCTTGAGATCACAGTGTACCCAAGGTATGCTTGACATCACAGTGTATCCAGGGCTTGAGATCACAGTGTACCCAAAGTCTGCTTGATACCACAGTGTACCCAGGGCTAGAGATCACAGTGTACCCAAGGTCTGCTTGATATCACAGTGTATCCAAGGTATGCTAGACATCACAGTGTATCCGAGTAATGCTTGACACCACAGTGTATCCGAGGTACGCTTGACATCACAGTGTATCCAAGGTATGCTTGACATCACAGTGTACCCAAGGTACACTTGAAATCATAGTGTATCCGAGGTATGCTTGACATCACAGTGTATCCGAGGTATGCTTGACATCACAGTGTACCCGATGTATGCTTGACATCACAGTGTATTCAAAGGTGAGCTTGACATCACATTGTACGCAAGGTACACTTGACATCATAGTGCATCCGAGATCTGTTTGACATCACAGGGTATCCAAGGTCTGTTTGACCCCAAAGGGTATCCAAGGCAAGCTTGACATCACAGTGTACTCGAGGTACGATTGACATCACAGTGTATGTGAGGTATGCTTGACATCACAGTGTATGTGAGGTATGCTTGACATCACAGTGTATGTGAGGTATGCTTGACATCACAGTGTACCCAAGGTATGCTTGACATCACAGTGTATCCAAGGTCTGTTTGACCCCACTGTGTATCCAAGGTAAGCTTGACATCACAGTGTACTCGAGGTACGATTGACATCACAGTGTATCTGATGTATGCTTGACATCACAGTGTATGTGAGGTATGCTTGACATCACAGTGTATGTGAGGTATGCTTGACATCACAGTGTACCCAAGGTATGCTTGACATCACAGTGTATCCGATGTATGCTTGGCATCACAGTGTATCCGAGGTATGCTTGACATCACAGTGTATCCAAGGTATGCTTGACATCACAGTGTACCCAAGGTATGCTTGACATCACAGTGTATCCGATGTATGCTTGACACCACAGTGTATCCGAGGTATGCTTGACATCACAGTGTATGTGAGGTATGCTTGACATCACACTGTATCCAAGGTATGCTGTACACCGCAATTGACTTGGGTATGCTTGACATCACGCTGTATCCAAGGTATGCCTGACATCACAGTGTACCCAAGTTATGCTTGATATCACAGTGTACCGAAGTATTTTTGATACCACAGTGTATTCAAGGTACGCTTGACACCAAAGGGTATCCGAGGTATGTTTGACATCACAGTGTATCCGAGGTATGCTAGACATCACAGTGTATCCGAGTAATGCTTGACACCACAGTGTCTCTGAGGTACACTTCACATCACACTGTATGTTAGTTATGCTTGACATCACACTGTATCCAAGGTATGCTTTACACCACAATGTATCTGGGGTATGCTTGACATCACGCTGTATCCGAGGTATGCTCGACATCACAGTGTCTTCAAGGTATGCTTGACATTACAATGTACGCAAGGAATGCTTGATATCACCGTGTAACGAAGTATGCTTGACACCTAAGTGTATTTAAGGTACGCTTGACATCACAGTGTATCCGATTTTTGCTAGACATCACAGTGTATCCGAGTAATACTTGACACCATAGTGTATCCGAGGTACGCTTGACATCACAGTGTATCCAAGGTATGCTTGACATCACCGTGTATCCAGGGTATGCTTGTCACCACAGTGTATCCTAGGTATGCTTGACATCACAGGGTATCCGAGGTACGCTTGATATTACAGGGTATCCAGGGTATGCTTGACACCACAGTGTATCCAGGGTATGCTTGTCACCACAGTGTATCCTAGGTATGCTTGACATCACAGTGTATCCAAAGTTTTGCTTGACATCACCGTGTATCTGAGGTATTCTTGACATCACAGTGTATCCAAGGTATGCTTGACATCACATTGTATCCAAGGGATGCTGGACATCACAGTGTATCCAAGGTATGCTTGACATCACAATGTATCCGAGGTATGCTTGACATCACAGTGTATCCAAGGTTTGCTTGACATCACAGTGTATCCGTGGTACCCTTGACATCACAGTGTATTGAAGGTATGCTTGACATCACAGTGTATCCGAGGTATTTTTGACATCACAGTGTATCAGAGGTATGCTTGACATTACAGCTTACGTGAGGTATGCTTGACATCACGGTGTATCTGAGGTACATGTATGCTTGAAACCACAGTGTATCAGAAGTATGATTGAAACTACAGTGTATCTAAAGTATGACTGACACCACAGTGTATCCGAGGTATGCTTGAAACTACAGTGTATCAAAGGTATGATTGGAACCACAGTGTGACCAAGGTATGATTGACACCACCGTGTATTTAAGGTATATCAGTGAGGTGAGATGAGGTGAAATTGGGTTTAACATCGCGTCGAGGTTTATTGCACTTATTTAGCGACGTGCATGCACGTGTGTTTGTGTGGCTGCTTGTACTAGTCAGGACTGATGCCGATTTATAGTGCTAGCTGAGATACCATGCCGCAGTTTAACACGAATGCCCCACTCAGACACAGTATACTGACTCCGAGCCGACCAGTCCTTGTTTTAGCCCCTCAATGCCGAGCGCCAGACAGGGTAACAACAAGTACCATCTTTTAACGTCTTTTGGTATGACGCGGCCCGGGATCGAACCGCGGACCTTCCGCTCTCCGGGCGGACTCTCTACCACTAGACCACGGAGGCGGTCTAAGGTATCATGATACATCCAGTGTGTCAGTGTTATAGTTGATACCACAGTGTTCCCAGGGTACATCCCAGTGTTCAATATTTGACACCATTGTGTATTCAAGGTATAATTCTAGAAAAATCTCTCAGTGTATCAGTACCAGTGTGTAATAATTGACACAAGCGTATATTCAAAGTACAATTGTGTAATAACTTACATTACGGTTATTCAAGGCAGCAATTGCAATGTATAATGATTGACACAACACCTTATTCAAAATATTAATGTGTAATAATTACATCACAGTGTGTAGGAGGCATCATTGTATATTAATGAACATCACATTGTTTTCAAAATACCATCCTATAATGACTGACAGTGCATTCAAGGTGCAATTGTGTAATAACTGATATCACAGAGTATCCAATGTATCAGTGTTGAGACATTAGAATTGTCAGCTTTAGCGACGTGTTATGGCCTTGATGCTAATCCTTCATTGTGTCCAAAACACCATCGTATAATGACTGGCATCAGTGTATCCAATGTGCCTTTGTGTAATAACTGATATCACAGAGTATCCAATGTATCAGTGCTTACCAACTGACACCAGAATGTATCCAATGTATCAGTGTTGAGACATTAGGATTGTCAGGTTTATGGACGTGTTATGGCCTTGATGCTAATCCTTCATTGTGTCCAAAACACCATCGTATAATGACTGGCATCAGTGTATCCAATGTGCCATTGTGTAATAACTGATATCACAGAGTATCCAATGTATCAGTGTTGAGACATTAGGATTGTCAGGTTTATGGACGTGTTATGGCCATGATGCTGATCCTTCATTGTGTTCGAAATACCATCGTATAATGACTGGCATCAGTGTATCCAAGGTGCCATTGTGTAATAACTGATATCACAGAGTATCCAATGTATCAGTGTTGAGACATTAGGATTGTCAGGTTTATGGACGTGTTATGGCCATGATGCTAATCCTTCATTGTGTTCGAAATACCATCGTATAATGACTGACAGTGCATTCAAGGTGCAATTGTGTAATAACTGATATCACAGAGTATCCAATGTATCAGTGCTTACCAACTGACACCAGAATGTATCCAATGTATCAGTGATGAGACATTAGAATTGTCAGGTTTATGGACGTGTTATGGCCTTGATGCTAATCCTTCATTGTGTTCGAAATACCATCGTATAATGACTGGCATCAGTGTATCCAAGGTGCCATTGTGTAATAACTGATATCACAGAGTATCCAATGTATCAGTGCTGAGACATTAGAATTGTCAGCTTTAGCGACGTGTTATGGCCTTGATGCTAATCCTTTATTGTGTTCGAAATACCATCGTATAATGACTGGCATCAGTGTATCCAAGGTGCCATTGTGTAATAACTGATATCACAGAGTATCCAATGTATCAGTGTTGAGACATTAGGATTGTCAGGTTTATGGACGTGTTATGGCCATGATGCTAATCCTTCATTGTGTTCGAAATACCATCGTATAATGACTGGCATCAGTGTATCCAAGGTGCCATTGTGTAATAACTGATATCACAGAGTATCCAATGTATCAGTGCCCACCAACTGACACCAGAATGTATCCAACGTATCAGTGCTGAGACATTAGAATTGTCAGCTTTAGCGACGTGTTATGGCCTTGATGCTAATCCTTCATTGTGTTCGAAATACCATCGTATAATGACTGGCATCAGTGTATCCAAGGTGCCATTGTGTAATAACTGATATCACAAGAGTATCCAATGTATCAGTGTTGAGACATTAAAATTGTCAGCTTTAGCGACGTGTTATGGCCTTGATGCTAATCCTTCATTGTGTCCAAAACACCATCGTATAATGACTGGCATCAGTGTATCCAAGGTGCCATTGTGTAATAATTGATATCACAGAGTATCCAAGGTATCAGTGTTGAGACATTAGAATTGTCAGCTTTAGCGACGTGTTATGGCCTTGATGCTAATCCTTCATTGTGTTCGAAATACCATCCTATAATGACTGGCATCAGTGTATCCAAGGTGCCATTGTGTAATAACTGATATCACAGAGTATCCAATGTATCAGTGTTGAGACATTAAAATTGTCAGCTTAAGCGACGTGTTATGGCCTTGATGCTAATCCTTCATTGTGTCCAAAACACCATCGTATAATGACTGGCATCAGTGTATCCAATGTGCCTTTGTGTAATAACTGATATCACAGAGTATCCAATGTATCAGTGCCCACCAACTGACACCAGAATGTATCCAACGTATCAGTGCTGAGACATTAGAATTGTCAGCTTTAGCGACGTGTTATGGCCTTGATGCTAATCCTTCATTGTGTTCGAAATACCATCGTATAATGACTGGCATCAGTGTATCCAAGGTGCCATTGTGTAATAACTGATATCACAAGAGTATCCAATGTATCAGTGTTGAGACATTAAAATTGTCAGCTTTAGCGACGTGTTATGGCCTTGATGCTAATCCTTCATTGTGTCCAAAACACCATCGTATAATGACTGGCATCAGTGTATCCAAGGTGCCATTGTGTAATAATTGATATCACAGAGTATCCAAGGTATCAGTGTTGAGACATTAGAATTGTCAGCTTTAGCGACGTGTTATGGCCTTGATGCTAATCCTTCATTGTGTTCGAAATACCATCCTATAATGACTGGCATCAGTGTATCCAAGGTGCCATTGTGTAATAACTGATATCACAGAGTATCCAATGTATCAGTGTTGAGACATTAAAATTGTCAGCTTAAGCGACGTGTTATGGCCTTGATGCTAATCCTTCATTGTGTCCAAAACACCATCGTATAATGACTGGCATCGGTGCATTCAAGGTGCAATTGTGTAATAACTGATATCACAGAGTATCCAATGTATCAGTGTTGAGACATTAGGATTGTCAGGTTTATGGACGTGTTATGGCCTTGATGCTAATCCTTCATTGTGTTCGAAATACCATCGTATAATGACTGGCATCAGTGTATCCAAGGTGCCATTGTGTAATAACTGATATCACAGAGTATCCAATGTATCAGTGCTTACCAACTGACACCAGAATGTATCCAATGTATCAGTGCTGAGACATTAGAATTGTCAGGTTTAGCAAGTGTTATGGCCTTGATGCTAATCCTTCAATGAGTGAAAGTGAAACTGAAGAAACTTTGGGAATTATGTGGTTGACGAGGAACCTTTGGATGATTCAGGTTTGGTAATGCTGGTGGAAGAAAAATCAGAAAATCTTAAACTGACTTAGCTGGAAATAGAATAAGGAATTAAAAAGAAAGAAAGAATTAACACTGAACTAATTATAGTTTCAAAAAGAAATAGAGGAGACATAATTCAGAATGAGGGAGATGGACTCGCAATATAGTCATTTCTGAAAATGTATCAAAATTATTAACTAGTATTGTCAGATTTGTCCCTGAACTGTTGACAATTCGTTTCGGCATTTGTGAAAGTGGCAACAAATTTAAAGTAGCATAAATCGCAAGTTATTGCAAAGTGTATCAAAAGGCAAATTTTCAAAAGACTATTTGAAGCGCTATCAGTTGGTGAAAAAGGCATACAGGCCAACATTACATTTCTTACACTTAAACGTGTGTTATCCATCGTGTACTCATCGACACATCGGTGTATCCATGGTACCACTGTGTACTACTGGCACATCAGTGTATCCAAGGTACAATCGTGTACTCATTGAAACCACAGTGTATCCAAGTTACCACTGTGTACTCATTGAAACCACAGTGTATCCAAGTTACCATCGTGTACTAAATGACATCACGCTGTATCCAAGGTACTATCGTGTACTAACTGACGACGCAGCGTATCCAAGTTACCATCATGTACTAATTGACAACACAATCTTTCCAAGGTATCGGAGTATGCTACTTTAAAACACAGTATATCAAAGGCATCAGTTTGCACTACATTCCTGAATCGAGGACACAAATGAATCAGGGCTTGAGCTACTTGATCATATGATTGTCCAGCCCGGTCTAGTGTACTATGCCATAATGGCGGAAGAAAATGTTAAACAAAAGTCACTCATGACCCTTTCGAAAGTTTATGAGTGAATCAATTTTTTGCAGTATTTCTGTTATTGTACAGGCCTCACACGATGTATGCATGCCAGGAGATAATCCTGATTGTTCGTTAAACAAATGGGATACCCAATCGACTTCTTGTCTCAAAGAATTATGCACACAAGGTATATTAATCAGCCAGACAATGACAGCTGGCTGAACGTTATGTTAATATCTAGGGATGATACATTCACAAAAAGACCATCATTGTCTTATAGAACAGATCCTTTGGCAGTGAGAAGATTCACAATTGCAGTATTTCCAGTCTGTTTTGCATAATCAAGGGCAGTCTTTCCCTCTTTGTCCTCTATTCCTGGAACTGTACATTTCTCCAAAATCTACTTCACAGATTTACAATTTTCCCTGTGGGCCGCATTATGAAGAGCTGTTTTCCCCTCTCGGTCCTGTTCAGATGGATCAGCACCTGATAGCAAGAGCGTCTCAACATAGTCAGTACACCGATCTTCAGTTGCAAGGGCTGCACAATGAAGTACCGTCCTGCCTTGCCCATCTCTTTGATTAGGGTTGGCACCTCTGTTTAATATCAGCTTAATATTGACTGTACTTCCTCTTTGTGCTGCATAGTGGAGAGCCGTCTTGTCGCAGAAACTTTTTAAATTCAAATCAGAGGCATGTTCCAAGAGAAGCTTAGCAGTAACACAGTTCCTTCCTGTCACAGCATAGTGGAGAGGTGACATTCCTTGCTGATCTCGTACATTTGGATCAGTGCCTTGATTTAGGAGTAATGTAACATTTTTCACCTGTTCATGTTCTGCTGCACAGTGAAGAGCTGTCTTGCCATGTACATCTTTTATTGATGAAACAGCTTCTGCGTCTTGGAGGAACTTTACAGACTCACTGTTGGGTAATTGTGACAAATAATGTAGAGGAGTTTTGCCCTGTGTGTCTTGCTTGCATGGGTCAGCACCTTCGGCCATCAGCATAGCAATACACGCACTGCTTTGATTCACTGCTGAATAGTGAAGGGCAGTTTTTCCATCTCGATCTTGTATGCTTTGGTCACTTCCTTTCTCTAAGAGAAGTTGAACACGTTCCCTACTTTTTGTCTCAGCTGCATAATACAATGCTGTTTTTCCATGATCATCTTGTAAATCCGGAAAAGCATCCTTATCTAGAAGAAGCTTAATGCTCTCGTCAGTCATACTGAACTCTGCATAGTGGAGTGGTGTTTTGCCAAATTAATCCTTGACACATGGATCCACCCATTTAAGCATCAATAGCTTTAAGTTACCACTGCAGCCTTTCTCTGCTTCTAAGTGGAGAGCTGTCCTACCGTGTGCATCTGTCACACTGGGGTCAGCATCTTGCTCCAAAAGTACCTCGGTATTGTCACTATTTCTGTTTTCAGCTGCATAAAGCAGAGGTGTTTTTCCTAGGAGATCCTTTTTACATGGGTTGCTACCTACCTCTAAGAGAAGCGTAGTACTTTCATTGCTGTTATTTCCTGCAGCGTAATGTGGTGGTGTTTTGCCCCCGTGATCTGTTACATTCGTATCTGCTACTTCCTTTTGAAGAAGTTTAACAATGTCAGCATTATTAATTGCTGATGCATAATGAAGTGCTGTCTTGCCTTGATGATCTTTCAAATTGATATCGATCCCAGCCTCAAGTAATAACTTTACGCTGTCAGCATTTCCACATTCAACTGCACAGTGGAGAGCTGTTTGGCCAGACGAATCCCTTAAGCATGGATTGATGCCTTTCTCCAGGAAAAGCTTAAGGTTATCACTGTTTGAACTTTGTGCTGCATAATGCAGTGGCGTCCTGCACTTTTCATCCTGGACATGTTCATTTACATTTTGTGCCAAAAGAAGTTTTAAACAATCGCCGTTGTTGTGCAATGCTGCACGATGGAGTGGAGTTACGCCCCATTTATCGCTTAAACATGGATCAGCTCCTCTCTCCAGAAGTAACTTAACACTGGCACAATTGCGGCTATCAACTGCATATAACAATGCACCTTTTCCAAGTCCATCTTGAATGCAAGGGTCAGCACCTTTATCTAACAGCAGTTTCAGAACATCAGTTGTCAGCTCAGATGCACAGTGAAGGGCGGTTTTGCCCCTTAGATCTTGAATCTGCAGATCAATGGGTGTTTCTAGCAAAAGCTTTATATTGTCAATCCTTCCTCTTTCTGTTGCATAGTGCAGGGCTGTTTTCCCCAGGGCATCTTGAAGACATGGATCACTTCCTGCTACAAGTAGCAATTTGACATTGTCACTGCATCTTCCTTCTACAACGTAGTGTAAGGCACTCTTTCCATCATTGTCCTTAATAGTTGGATCAGCACCTGCTTGCAATAGTGTGTTCAATAGTCCTATCTGTTTTTCCGCTGCACAGTGCAGTACCGTTTGGCCATTTGAATCTTGATCATTTGGGTCAAGACCTTTACCCAGTAGCATTTTAGTTATGTCATCTAAAGTTCTGGCATGAATTGAGACAACAAATATATTATGCAAAAGAAAAAACAGAAGGTTGTATTTATGTCCATCTTTGTCTATCTGATTTACACTAAGCCCTCTTTCTAGCAGGAAAGACAGCAGCTCCTCATCTCCAGTCTCCAGAGATGAGATTACTGCTGGAAATGCAGCTGTTCTTCCACAGTTGTCTTCTTTTTGCAAAAAGTCCTCTCTGAGGTCCAGAATATATTGCATTTTCTCAATAGTGTCAATCGGTGATCTTGCAGCCTTGTGAAGCACTGTCTCTCCGGTGACATCTGTCACGTCAATTGAAGCACCCGACTCGTGCAGAAATTTTAATACGTCAATATCAGCATTCCTACAAGCAACAAGAATGGCACGTTTGCAGATCTGATATTCATCCATGCTTGCAGAAAAGTTAGATACAATGTCATCAACATCTACATTGACATCAGCTCCATTCCTAAGCAGAAACTTCACTGTTGCAAGGTCACCACCTTCAGCTGCTCTGTAGAGGATTGTCTTGTTGTCTTCATCTACACCTTTGATATCACTGCCTGCCTTCACTAACGCGTTTACTATGTCCATGTTTGGACTGCACAGACTTTCCAACCATAACATCGGAATACACCCACGGACGTTTGTAATATCTACAGGTGCATGCTTTCCAATCAACATCTTCACACACTCGACTTGATTATGTTTGGCGGCCAGGTGCAGTGGCGTATTTCCATCTTCATCTTGGACACCCACTGGAACTCCTCTGTCAAGCAGCAGTCGAACACACCCTGTATTACCATGCTTAGCAGCTGTAAAAAGTAAGGACGTGCTCATATGATGTATCTCCTCCTGACTGTTTTCAACAAGCTCCAGCAACTCCTGCAAACACAATTCTACACCATATGCTGCTGCTTGCTGTAGAGCAGTCGGATAATACTCCTCCCTACTAAACGGGTCAATCTTTTGGGAACGTATGTTCATCACGTTCACCCCATGAGCCTGAATGAGCTTGATGGCTGTAGTATCCAAATGGGTTGCCGCTAACAATGTCAGATGACCAAAGTCAACATGACACCCAGTGTCAAGAAGAATGGTAATTATCTCGCTCATGTGTCTCATGTTGTATGGCTGATACTCAGGTGATCTGTAGCCAGCACTCAGTTCTTTGAATAATTGCGCCAAACAGTGTCTGAATACTGCCTGGCTTCTCACGTGATCCCTTAACCGTTTAACAACAAACTCCACAACAAAAACATTTCCATATAAAACAGCCACTTTGAAAAAGTTGTCAAGATTGGGTATTGAATTCCATGAGAACCTTTCTTCTAACTCTGATTCAGTGGATACTGGGTCTGCTTTTGACATCAAGACACATTTACACACGATATCAGAAATATCCCTGTCCATAAGCCTTGACATACAGAGAGCTCTGAAGCAAGATGCATTTGGCTTCAACCCAAAATCAAGGAGAGTCTTGACGAGAACACTGTCGCCAACAAAGATTGCACAAGGCAAACACTCCTGTAAAACGTCCTTTTCATAGAGGTCAAGCCGCTGTGAAAATATGTGTGTTGTTAAAACATTCAAATGTTTCAGTACAATAAAAGATAGAAGATATTCAACCTTAAATATTTCCATTTGTTCAATTCCATGCGAGAATACATTACAACAGATCTGTACTTTATTGTTCAATTTCTGTTGCAAAATTCTGTTCATTTTGCTTTCAAGTGTCCACTTATGAAGCAAATTTTGAATGAATACTTCATCTTTAAGAGATGGGTGGTCAACGATTTGTCGTGAGGTTTCAGGTGTCAGTAGTATGTCTGTGACTCGATCAGCTAGCATTCCATAATTCTCCTCTGTAAGATGCAACGCCAAATCTTTATCACATTCATTTTGTTTTGTTTTGACAAGCTCAACGAGCATTTGCACAGAACCTGTTTTGATACAAATGTCTGGATATGTTTTGGATAGACTGACGAAAACGGAATCAAAAATGGATTGATGCTGAAACACAAATCCATTTTCACTGTGATCTAAATAGATACCACAAAGAGATTCTGCCTTGTGTCTGATATTGGCCAGACTAGGATATGAAACTAAATTTGGACAGATATCCTTCACAATCTGCAAGGTTTCTTGGAATTCCTGTGTACCCTGCCTAGTGAGTAGTTCACATTTTTCTAGACATCCTCGTTTCAGCAACACCAGCAGCAGAACAAGATACCCTAGTCCATCACTTTCCTGTAACCTGTCTACCTCCTCCATGATGTAATCAGTTGGCTTCAGGAAGAACTTCACGCCTTTACTCTGTGCCTGCTTACTGCCAGCAAAATACTTACAACACTGAGGAAAACCAATACTTGAGCCTGAACTTGCAATCTGTTCCATATCTTTCATCGAGAAATTGGTTCTGTTTTGACAAATGATCTTCAGCATCTTCTTTTTTTCATTTGGTCGGAGAGAATACTTCCCGTCATCAATCGTCATATGTGTGGCATTCTTCATCAAATGGTAATTCTGTAGTTGTCGCTCACACTGTGCACTGATCTCTGGTCTGGATGTTATGATCAGGTAAATATGACCAGCTTCTACGGATGGCCACATTATACTAAATAACCGTGACCATTCATCTGCAGTCGATTCAACAAAGCTGCTTGAACCAAAGATGTTATCTATCATTGCAATGTATTTGCATTTTCCCTGCCCTCTTCTTTGTGGTATTAGCTTCCATTCTTCAGCTGATGTTAATACAAGCGGTGTTCTTCCTTCCTGCTTGGCTAACGCTGATAGGAGTCTCTTGCCTAGTCTTGACTTACCAGAACCAGATCTCCCTTTGATGAAGATAATACCATGTTGTTTAAGCAGTTTCAGTGCCGATCTCTCAAAGAAGGTGGAGACATATTCTGTATGGTCATGGCTGATTAATGCTTTGCTTGACTCTGGAATGAAACAGGAGCAGCGTTATAATCCTTATGGCAGATACGGCTACAGATATGTCAACTTCATCCTCTTCCTTCACAGGAATTCATGGCGGTTACAAACTATCTATTTTCCTACCTCATGTATTCAACGAGGTCGAAGGCTGACAAAGCAATGAACCGATCACCCAGATCTACATTTATTTGCAATACAGTCAAGTCTCAATAATCTGACACTCCGTAATCCGACAATCGGCTTTATCCGGCACTTATGATTGTAACCGATTAAATCAGTGCTATTAAGACCCGTTAATCCGAGAGTCTCGCACTCCAACACACCAAATTTGCACCAAATTACCGAAATCAGTCATTTATCAGCCTCGTTAATCCGACACAGTGATCAGCATACATCATCTGCCCGCGAGTACACAGCCGGTGTCTTAAGCTTTGCAGTACCAGTTTCAAACTTAGGACTTCCAAACATTCCAGATTATGTTTTTTAAAGCATTTTTAAAAAGTCACAGAGTTTTGTGTTGAGCTTTAGAGGTTGCATGATTAAAAAACACATATGAATATTTCATTTTTATTATATGTTTGTATCATTATCTATCGTGTAGTTGTCCGATTGTCGATCACGAACGTTGCTACTACTTAATTTCGTTTATCCGACAAACTCGTTAATCCGACATAATCATATGCAACCAACCATGTCGGATTAACGGGGCTTGACTGTATATAACAGTTAAATACTGGGGAGTTACAACTACAATATTACTATGGGACAATGCCTATGGGACAATGCCTATGGGACAATGCCTATGGAACAATGCCTATGGGACAATGCCTATGGAACAATGCCTATGGGACAATGCCTATGGAACAACGCCTATGGGACAATGCCTATGGGACAATGCCTATGGGACAATGCCGATGGAATAAGTAACAGACATGAGGCAAAACGTAGAATCATGACATCGCCTGTGTATTTGTATAACCTTTGGGAAAAAATTAAAAGCGTTGCCTTACCACAGATGTTGACAAAACGTCTGTCTGAAAAAGAAAATCATGTGACATTTATGTACATATTTTCTTAGGAAGTATATGTAGTTATGTGTGAATTTAAATCTTAACTCACTCACTCGTATGTATATGCCCTTAAAGAGGATGAGGGGCGGTCAGGTAGCCTAGTGGTTGAAGTGGTCGCTCGTCAGGCCGAAAACCCGGGTTCGATTCCCGACATGGGTACAATGTGTGAAGCCCATTTCTGGTGTCCAACGCCGTGATATTGCTGGAATATTGCTAAAAGCGGCGTAAAACCATATTCACTCACTCACTTCAAGAGGATGAGAAGTTGTCCCCTGACAACAATAGTCGTTGCTGAATTGATAAAAGGAAAATTGCATGGGAACGTTATTGGCATTTAGAAATGCTATGCTCTTTATTGTTCAATGTGAGTTCAGGGCAGAATACATGTCGCATAGACTGACGGGATCATATCTGGAAGGTGATAAATTAACATCTTGTAAAACAAGACACGGTGTACTGATCTTTTATCGAATCCAAGATTCGCCCTGATTATACTCATCAGCTCAATATGGATACCGACCCGTGAAGATCCGGGGTAGAATAGGTCTTCAGCAACCCATGCTTGCCGTGAAAGGTTAATATGCTTGTCGTAAAAGGCGACTAACGGATCGGGTCGTCAGGCTCGCTGACTTGGTTGATGCATGTCATCGATCCCAATTGCGTGGATCGATGCTTATGATATCAATCACTGGATTGTCTGGTCCAGACTCGATTATTTACAGACCGCCGTCATATAGCTGGAATATTGCTGAGTGCGGCGCTAAACTACAAACCAACCAACCAACAAGCATAACGATACCGGTATGCCTGTGGTTCTGTTCTCCCGAGTTAAACCGAGATGCCTAAAACATTTCATTCGTTCACCGTACATGTACTGGTTTTACATACAAGAAATTCACCCCGATGAACAAATGGTTCCAAAATTCAGCATATGTAACTAGGACGAAAAATATGTTTCATGATTTTGAAAAAAAAATTCTTAACTTAATAAGAACATGACATGTTTGAGAAAAACAAAGGTTGCATTTTCAGCAGTCTCTCACCAGCACCACCTTGTACGGCCATCGCCCAGCCTCCTTACTTCTCTAGAACTGTAGTGCTTTACTTTCAGCTGTCAAATAAATACATATGATATCATTTAAGATGAATAATGTGCTCAGTGTGTGTTCCTAATTCTGTGATTAATACTTCTTTTAGCAAACAAGGGATTCGAACCAGGACATGGTGTGTACCAGGTGGCCAGTGAATGTTAAGAAATCTTCTACCATACAAGATATTCGAACGAGGTCAGTGTATGCACGAGGTGTGATGGTACCAAATATACCCCTTTCTGACCAGACCCGTGAAGATTCCGGGGTAGAATAGGTCTTCAGCAAACCCATGCTTGCCGGCGACTATGATTGTCGTAAAAGGCGACTAACGGGATCGGGTGGTGAGGCTCGCTGACTTGGTTGATACGTGTCATCGGTCCCAATTGCGTGGATCGATGCTCATGATATTAATCACTGGATTGTCTGGTCCAGACTCGATTATTTACAGACCGCCGTCATATAGCTGGAATATTGCTGAGTGCGGCGTTAAACAACAAAGCAACCAACCAACCTTTCTGACCAATCTCGTTTCCTCCAATGGCAACAATGATCACACATGATTCGTATAACGTGGTGATATAAATTAAGGAAGAACGCAAACAATCAACAAATACCAATATAATAGACACACATGCAGATACAGGCACAACCTGGTGCAGCGTCTGGAGCCAGTCACCACTTGACACTCACTATTTGTGTACACATGTCTTTCATTATTCAAAACGGGGGGCCCAGTCGTCTAAGGCGCCGCGATTCGCTGTGCAGAGTTGCGTCCCTTGGGCACGCCAGAAACCTATGATTGTGGGTTCGAATCCCGGCTCGCCCCGATTATGTTTCTAGGTTTGTCAGCACCATACCCCTGCTCGTGGGTTTCACCGAAGTGGTAAACGTCCGAGACCTGCATCACTTCGGGCTTTCCTCCCACTCTAAGCTGACACGCCGTGATATAACTGGAATACTGTTAAAACGGCGTTAATCCCAACTCACTCACTCATTATTCAAAACGTTATCGTTTCTCGTTTGCTTAGTTTTAGACAAAGACGAATGACCATAACGCTTTAGAGTTGAGAGCGAGTCTGTAACGTGGGAAACGGACGCCTTGGAACTCTCAGTTGTGAAGTCCTGCTCTGTCATGTGGCAGAGTTGAGGAAATAGATTGTGAATATTGGTATCTGAATATTTAAAGCCCGCTTCATTTAGTTTTGGCAGCTGTATACCTGTTTATATTATATAAATCAATGTCAAAAACAGTTCGGAATAAGGTATAACTTCAGGTTTTTTTTCATGACGACGTTGTCATTGTATCACGGACAGCTTGAGCATTCCGGGGTAAGTCATATTTCAGTTACATGTTACCTTGTTCATGTTAATCAACAACTTGTTTGGGGCGGTCGGGTAGCCTAGTTGTTAAAGCGTTTGCTCGAAGACCCGGGTTCGATTCCCGACATGGGTACAATGTGTGAAGCCCATTTCTGGTGTCCCCCGCCGTGATATTCCTGGAATATTGCCAAAAGCGGCGTAAAACCATACTCTCTCGCTCACTCACTCACTCACTCACTCAATCAATCACTCAATCAATCAATCAACAACTTGTGGTTTATACATTTATATATTTATAAACAGACAGATCTTACCTATATAAATTAAAAAATGGTATTCCTAGACAGAAGGTCCCCGTGTACAGCGTCATTAGGGTTGACAGAACACGTGGCTGCGCATATCAGGGTGATAACTGGGTATTTTGTGAACGCAACAGTCAACAAACGTGGGTGTTTTAGGACACAGTGCCCATACAACACTACTATTACCCTTTCATTTCCTATGGACAAATGAATTAAAGATAGAGCACTCATCATGCACTTAATTAAATGCGGCTATAGACATACATGTTTCGAAAACGATTGGATCTGCAGCGAGTTTTAACAGCAATATGCGTTATCAGAGTTACCTCCCTTAGCACCGCTAGTCACAGTCTACACACAAGGGCACTCTTGTTACTCCGTCCGTCAGCGGAATAAGCAGATCGGACGGAAAGGAATAATTCAGCTCTATTGTTCAAATATGAAATTTACAAACTTTACTGAATTATCCGAGTTCATATGCCCCCATGATGTATGATTCTGTTGTTGCTTTAAGAATCGCTGTATGAACATTACTATGTATGAGATGCTGTACGAAAAAAAAAGGTGGAATAAAAAAAAAATTTAAAAAAAATAATTTTTTTTTTACAAACTTATATGAGTCGTAAGTACTTTGCGACTAAATTTAAAATGAAATGTATTTTCAATGAAACACACATACGCTCTGCAGGACACGAGATGTATATAATATGGTTTGTTTGAAGATTAATGTAACTGTTGTGTACAGTAACACCTTACAGAAATTACTGCTGGCTTCACGGATCAACAATAAAAACAACAATATAATGTCTCGTCTTGCTCCACACAATGATCAAACCACTACTTCCGGGTTGCGGAATTCATAAGACGTATACAACAACCCCCTCCATACCCACACACGCTTACCTAGACAACACATAATAAGTTCAAACAATCAAACACGCACCCCCCCCCCCCCCCCACACACACACACCTATGTTAGATCCGCCCTTGTAACGTGTCTGCAACTGCACGACACAGACACAAAATATCCCGTTTCCCTCGTCTCTAAGGCTAAGAGGACATATTTACCTGACTACGACAGGCAAGCTGGCAGCCGTGGCTGCATGTCTGTGTCTATATGGACGTCAGCTGCTTCAGCCACCACACAGGGCTCTTCATATCGTCCATGTCCACATCATGATACTTGATTCACGGTCGTCGGTGACAGGAATACGGGTCTATCAAGAGTTTTGAGCATGCAGGTATCTTGTGTGAAGTATACCGACCTGTGAGACGCAATACTGGCACAACCGGATTTCCATGCAACGCCAGGAAGAATTACTTCCCCTGACGGAGTTCATGATTTTACAGCCGCTTTCTCTGGTTACATCTTTTTTTTGTATTTGTGGTACGAAATGCTGGGTTATGCATAAAACACGTTCACTTGTGAAACAAACTATCACATTTACATGACAGTTTGTCACACGCGTACACACACACATGCTCAAACGAACACACACTCACAGGTAGACACACGCTCACACGTACATACACAAGCACACACACACACATACACGTACATAATCAGGCTCACACGTACACACGCAAGCTCACACGTACACACACACGCTCACAGGTACACAATCACGCTCACAGGTACACAATCACGCTCACACGTACACAAACACGCTCACAGGTACACAATCACGCTCACAGGTACACAATCACGCTCACAGGTACACAAACACGCTCACAGGTACACAAACACGCTCACACGTACACAAACACGCTCACAGGTACACACACACGCTCACACGTACACAAACACGCTCACAGGTACACAATCACGCTCACACGTACACAAACACGCTCACAGGTACACACACACGCTCACACGTACACAAACACGCTCACAGGTACACAAACACGCTCACACGTACACAAACACGCTCACAGGTACACAAACACGCTCACACGTACACAAACACGCTCACAGGTACACAATCACGCTCACACGTACACAAACACGCTCACAGGTACACAATCACGCTCACACGTACACACACACGCTCACACGTACACAAACACGCTCACACGTACACAAACACGCTCACACGTACACAAACACGCTCACAGGTACACACACACGCTCACACGTACACAAACACGCTCACAGGTACACAATCACGCTCACACGTACACAAACACGCTCACAGGTACACAATCACGCTCACACGTACACAATCACGCTCACAGGTACACACACACGCTCACACGTACACACGCTCACACGTACACAAACGTTCACACGTACACACGCTCACACGTACACACACACGCTCACAGGTACACATACACGCTCACACGTACACACGCTCACACGTACACAAACGTTCACACGTACACAAACACGCTCACAGGTACACAATCACGCTCACACGTACACAAACACGCTCACATGTACACAATCACGCTCACACGTACACAATCACGCTCACACGTACACACACACGCTCACACGTACACAAACGTTCACACGTACACACGCTCACACGTACACACACACGCTCACACGTACACATACACGCTCACACGTACACACGCTCACACGTACAGACACACGCTCACACACGCTCACGCGTACACATACACGCTCACACCTACACATACACGAACACGCACACACGTACACACACACGTACACACGCTCACACTTACACACGAACACAAACACGCTCACACGTACACACACACACGCTCACACACATGTACACACATGTCTATCGGGTGCTGTTTGGATGCGATGGGAAATTTCATTGTGATTAGATGTTGCGTTCAGATGCAAAACCACGATATTATGAATGTACACCTCAAGGGCAGCTACATCTATATCATTAGTTCCCTTTGTTGTAAGTCGATACAAAGATGATTTCGTGATAAGTCTGTAAGTTCATGACTCTTGAAACGTATTCAAACACAAACAATTCAACAACAGAAGCTGCATCATGGGCCTCCTGTCGCTGAAGGAAAATGGTTCGTTATAAACTTCTGACATTTCAGATTTAGAATTAAGATCAAGGCCGTAGTTAACTTTTTTGGACAGGGGAGGGCAAATATTTGTACAAGTATCACTTGTCCCCAACTTGATTCAAATAAAACTGTTTTCTATAAAAAAAATCTTGGGGGGCAACTGCCCTCCCTGCCCCCCGGATGGCTACAGCATTGAAGATGTTTTGTTCTTGTAGATTGTGATACTTTGGGGACGTAGAGTCATAATTAGCAGATCCTTTACCTTTGATATATATAGAATACTTAACGAGCTCCCGTGTTATACCAATTTTATGAAACGAGTGAATAGTTGTGGTATCTGACGAGCGAAAGCGAGTCAGATACCACAACTTTTCACGAGTTTCATAAAA